CATGGTCTCTGGAATGAGACAGGAGTGTTAAATGTTGGGTTATTGAACATTCTTGATGTTGTAATGAATATTGTACTTGATATTAATTATTGTCCTTTAATTAATGTACCTGTCCTCAGAGACAAATGAAAAATTACATATTAAAATATAAAAAAATTAATTGCAGTTCATCTGGAGCCAGGAATATATTAAATGGTTACTAGACAAATATAAAGCATGTGTAGAACTGAATGTAGAAGACATGAGGCACAAAGGAGCATTTTCCAAAGTCTGCCAGAAACCCTGCCCACCCACAAAGCCATGAGGCTACCCATATGTTAGATGTTTAAGCAGTTTACTAGTTTATAGGAGGGAATTTGCTATGTCAAAAGACAATGAAACGAGACGTTCTCTTGGGGGGGGGGCAGGGTAGGAAGATATTCTTATCTCTTTTTATATACGCATGAAAAAAATTATTAGAAATGACATCCTAAAAGGGAAATACTGTTGCTCTAATTTATATGTAGCAAATGAGTCAACAGTTCAAAACCAGATCAAAGAATATCTACCTAATGCAGCTTATAAGCAAATCTGCAGAACTCAACCTAAATGAAATGTTTTGCTACATTTCAATGGATGCAAGACTGTCCACTTTGTAAGTTTGTTTTATTAAGGCAAAAACATTTACATTTCTCTTGAGCTATCATGATCACTTGGTAACCCCTTGCTGTATTTGTATAAACTAGCTCTGTCTTTAAAATTAAAATTGATTGCATTATTGTACCAAAAGAATTTTTTCTGGAACTTATAGTAACTGGTGGATTTTAGAAGTACAAAAATTAGTAGCACAATGTAAAGTATATGCTTCAGTTTCATGGGATTGGTATTAGGAAATCCATCTGCTAGAGATTTTCTTCTGTTTTTCATGATGTCATCAGGCCTTCCCATCTGGTAAGGAGAATTTTGAGATACATCCTACTTTTTCATGCATGAATTCTGTCAACCTTCTATACATTTCATAAGGTCCATATTCATATTTGTTTTTTTTAGTTGATTATGTCACCTAGTGCAATATTAAGCACACACACCAAAAAGGACCTTTATTATGCTCTTAGATTTTTACTACATTTTTTAATTTACCTATAATTGAAGTACTTGTTACTTAATAAGTAATATAGTTTGATGATTTGATGTGATAACATAGGCAATTTGTAGATGTATAAATAGCTTTTCTAAAATTCACTTCTATGCACAGTTTTCTTAATTCATGGAATCTTTGGTGAATAGCATTGGCCTACTGATTTCTTTACATGCCATTATCTTTTTTATTTCCAAGGAACTAGGGTGTCTTGTGTCTAATTGATCTTTAGCTGGAGTGAAAGTCTTCCAATCCTTGCTTGACATTTCATGATTTGGTGAGAACTTAAACTATTGTGCTTTGTTTTTTAATTCGCCATGTGTTTTTGCTATAATACATGGTTATAGTAAGAAAAAAAGCTTCTATGTGATTGGTAGATGAGGAAGTTAGGTCCATATAATTTGGAAGTGGCATCAACTCATATACAGCTTTTTCTAGATAAGAACAGCCAGAAAAAGAGAAATAAAATTGTAACCAGCAATAAGCTGCAGCACTGGAAGCAGAAGCTATTACAACTTTGTTTTCCTTTTTAATTTGCTTGATTGATATATCAGTTTCTAAGAGAAGTGCAATAAAACATGTATGAGAAGCCGTGTTCTCATAATTCTGTCAAATATTTTTTCTGTGTGTAGTCAAATCTGTGTTCTTAGTAATAAAGTTATGATTATTATAATATTGTTTTCTTTAGTATGTAGTATTCCTCTTTATCTGAATTAATAGTTTTTGTCTTAAGCTAAAGTGAATCATATTATAACATGATTCTTTTATGGTAGTATTTGCAGGGCATGTTTTGTTCATCCTCTTAACATGTGCTTTTCAGTATAGTTTGCCTTAGGTATTTATCTTAAAACTAGCATATTGCTAGATTTTTCTTTAAAAAATCCAATCTGATACTATGAAAGAGTAAATGTTTTTAATTTATGTGTATTACTTTTATATTTGAGACTTTTTATACAAGCTTATTTTGTTACTCCTGTTGGCCAGTTGTTGTATTTACTCCTATAATTTGCTGAATTGATACACATAATCCTTTTCTCCCTCTTCTAGTTCTAAGAACTATAAAATGTAGTTGTATATAGCTTTAATTAAATACTATTACTTTTTAAAATATGCATAATTAACTGCAAGTTAACTCAGTGTATCTGTCCTTGGTGTAAAACAAAAAACAGATTCAGCACACTTTACCTATTAAACCTTTTCATTCAAATATAATTTATTCTTGTCGAGAATTTAGTTCTACCACTTTTAAGCTCCCAGAGTTACTACATTTAGGCTCTCTTTTAGCACACTCTTTTAGGAAAATTGAAAAATGAGCACCTGCTCCCAGCTCTGACTTCACAGGGAGGTTCCCCTGGCAGGTGCACTTCCTCCTGAGCCAAGTTCAATGGTAGCTTTACATTGCATAACTCCATTCCCAGTTGTATCTATCATTCCTTCTCCAATTAATGCATTCCCGGCATTTCCGCTCTTTAATTTCTGTGCATTTTTAAATCTCTATGGAGGCTGTAATTATGAAGTATAATGGTCTTGTCTTTTCTGCTCCTTGTGCTATTTTTCCCACAAACCCTTTGTGTACTCCCCCCTTATTTTAATGTGATATTTTTCAGAACTGAATATTTATTAGGAAGACTTGTATTATTAAGTAAGAAATGTCTATCTGGCTTGTTAACTATCTAAGCTAGCAGTGAGGTTGTCCGGGTTGTGCGTTGCAAAACTCCAGGACATTCTATTCACATGAAGTTTGTTGGGTAGGGTAGTTGCTGGTATTTCATGGTATCTAAATAGTATGAATAATTACACAGTTAAAAGAGTTAAATAGTACTGTGAGGCTTGTAACCTCAAACAGCAGCACTGTTCCTCAGTCCAGATGGTATGGGGCTATGTAATGATCTGGCAGTATGGGCCCAGGAGAGGGTCTTAGCCTTGGCCAATCTTCTAGCTTTAGATTCATAACATGACTGCAGTTTTATAAATTCCTTTTGAGTTAGGGGAATTATGCTGCCTTTTTTTTTTTTTTTTTGACAATCCTACAACCAGCACTTGTAGCTTCAGACAGATATTATAAACTCACAAGACTAGAAGATGCCTTTGGCACTAGTTTGTGCAACATTATAAAAGACTACATGACAGGAAAAAAGATGAAGATGGCCATGTCTCTTCAGCTTTAGCTCTTGAGCTCATAATGTCACATAAGTTATAAGGACTGCCTTTTACCTCCCCTCCCCCTTTTCTCCCCTACAGTGGCTTCTAAAGGGTGAGGGAAGGAGGTTAGAGGAGGTGGTATGTGAGTCATCCTTCTAAAAGCCTCAAGCTACAAATAGGAACTAGTATCTTTTGAAACAGCTGATAGATGTTAGCTTCCTAGGTTTCAGCTAGGGCAACACCTGGTTCCAAGTTCAATTAAACTGAAGGGAAGCCTAGCACTTATAGTTCATTCACAATTATTCCAGCCTGGCTCTAGTTCACCCCCCTCAAATTATGTTTGCTGTAAGCACTGTTGCCTGATAAAAAAAAATCTGAAATTTCATCTTCATAAGGTTTCAGGGAATCACTGCTGGGGGAGCTGGATCCCTTGAGCCCTGTGAGCTCAGGATCACAGGGTCACATTGTCTTCTCATCAGCCATTCAGTGTATAGTAAAGCCTGAGATTCTTTCCTTTGTGCTTTTCATCTTCAGTTTCTTTGTGTTTTTGTTTTTGTTTTCTGTTGTTTTTTTGTCTATTCTTTTGGTTTCTTTATGGATAGAGCATTTTTAAGGAAAAATGTGTTTATTGTCACTTTAGATTTTAGGAGGAAGCAATGATATGTGTATGTCTTCAGTTAAATTTACTGAAAAGTTCCAAGAACTAGTTATTGAATATCTACTGAATTAATATACATACATGTCCTATCATAATTCTCTTTTAAAATGGCTATTGTTAAGTAGTTTTTCCTGGAAAAACAATATGCAGTCTTGTGGGTAAAAACTCAGTACCTTGTGTTACAAAAAGAACATAGTAAGATTGTGTTGTGTATTTTCTGTAGAGTGTGTTTCTATATCAATGAATGGAGGAATGGAAGGGATTAGTATAAGAGTTTCCAAGTGGAGTAGATTTTAAAATGCTTCTAGATAATAAATACATGTGAGTGAACAAATTATAAATCTTGAGAGCTATAATTCTTGATACTGTGAAAAATATAAATATTCCCAAGTGTTTATTTTGTATTTGCATTTGTATTTTATTTTGATATTATTGTGATGTGGATATTTTATGTCCCACAAAAGACAAATATTACCATAAAACTTCAATAATTTGAAGAAAAGGAAGCTCACCCTGAGCTCTTTAAAATTTAAATGAAAAATAATGTTTTAAAGTAGTCATTGGAATAATTTCCTGAAAAATATTATGTAACATTGGAAAAAATAATAAGTAAAATTCTGTATTTAAGCTAAGACATAGATGACTTACTAGAATTTGAATTATCACTTTGAAAGGGGTTCTTCTAAAGAACTATGAACGTAATAGAGCACTTCCTTGAATTTTATTAATATAGTAATTGTTTAATAGGTAGTATTTCTACCTAGACTTGTTGCTATTTATAAATTAAATTGAATGAATAGTTGAAATCATATATTTTTTATACATTTGACTCTAACACAAGTGGAGATAGAATATTAGCATTTTTATAATTTCAACATCATGTTCTCACTGTTTATTGTCTTTGTATTTATAAAGGAGATTCATGAATCTTACTGAGCATTTATGGCTTGAGATGCTTATCTAGAAATTGACACAAACTGTTACATATTATAATATTTGTATTTTGAGCATTTTAATATTATATTTTTCAAAGCAAAGTGAAAGAAATTGTATTCTAATATGACCTTTTATATTATTTTGCAGGTACATTTTCTTGATTATAAATCAGTACCTTTTGATCAGAAAATGGAAAACCTAATGCAGATTAGGGAATATGCAAAGGAAGTGAAAAAAAGAAATATTTTATTATGTGGCCTTCTTATATGTTATCCACAGGTAGGTGAAATTTTTGTGTCAGATTTATGCTCTGTTCACTACTGTTTTAAGGGTGGAAACTAGATTTCTTGAAAGCAAAGATATATTAATAATTAGAAGAATTTTGGCTGGAATGTTATTCATCTATTCATGTTCTGTAGTAGGTAGAATCTCTCGATTCTAAGGGAATAATTAAAAAAAACTGTTTTGATTAAGAAAAAAAGTAAAATTGGTGAATATCTTATACAAGGTAGCCCTCATGGAATGACCAATTTAGCAAATAAAAAATACAGAATATCCAATTAAATTTCAATTTCAGATAAACAATAAAGTATCTTATGTATGCCCTAAATTTGGAATTCAAAATTTGAAATTCAAATTGAAACAGACTTTTGTATTTAACTGAGTTCACAACTCAACCATTTGTATGGTTTGAAATAGCTTGTTTCTTTTATGTGGTCCTAAAAATGTTGGTGATCAGGTGTTTTTTTTTTAATTTTTTAATGTTTTATTCATTTCTGAGAGAGAGACAGACAGCGTGAGCAGGGGAGGGTCAGAGAGAGGGAGACACAGAATCCAAAGCAGGCTCCAGGCTCTGAGCTAGCTGTCAGCACAGAGCCAGATGAGGGGCTCACACCCACGAACCGTGAGATCATGACCTGAGCCCAAGTCATATGCTTAAATGACTGAACCACGCAGGCGCTTTGGTTTTTAATTACTTGAAAGCAGTGCCTGGCATTCATATTAGAAGAGGGCGTGGTATTTAACCAGGGAAGAATTCTTATTGTCACTCTTTTAAAACTGGAAAGTTAGTTAAGCTGAAGGCAGAATCAAATAGCATTATAGATTCTTAGTGCAGAGAAGTGCTATTTAAATCAAATTATTTGGAGAATCTATTAGGGAAGATGGCTGTGCCCTTTGTGCATAGATTGCTTTCACAGAAATGGCAGAATGCTTTGTAGTTTTTTTAGAGATACCCCACAGGAATCAAGAAAGTGAAATGGTCCGTGGAGGTTTTAATGGTGTGGAATAAAAATGACTTGGTATTGACTGTCTAAGGAATGACAGGCATTTAAAATTATATGGCTGATGAATAACAGTTATTGTTTGTGAGATATTTAAGGTACCTGTTTAGCCTGAAGGTAATAACATTTCTTTTGAAACAAATGGATTTTAATTAAATATAAGGACCATCTTTTAGCCAGTTCCTTGGTTTCCTTTGAGGTGGTTTTCTTTGCTTCCAAAATCTGTAAGCATGACCTTCAGTTAGTCATTGAGAATGAGGCAAAGCTGAATTTACTTGGGATCATGGAAGTGCAATATGTTAGTGCTGTAGGGGTTAGTCAAGTCAGAACAGCCAAGGCCTAAAGATATACACACACTTGCCCAAGGATAGCACAAAACTGGCAGAGTAAGAATAAGAACTTGGGCCTGTATCTTTGTTCAAGAATATTTCCTCTTCACTAGATTGTCTGTGGTTGTACTCCAGATTATTATGGTAGGAATAGTAAGTTCTTCCTCTTGTGCCATGCAGTGGAGTCATGGATACACATGACTAATGCTGTCCTATCCAGATATAAAATAGAGTTCTTTGAGAAAAATCTCAAAAGCTACAAAGTGGTAGAGCACACAGTCTCTGGGACTCTCTTGGCTAAGCACAAAGAGTCTGTATGCACTGTAGTTGACATTTCAGCAGAGAGTACAGTCCAAATGAAATACAGCATGCTTAGTGAAATTTGAATTTCAGATAGACAATAAATTTTAGTGTATGTCAAAATATTACATGAGATATACATAACAATAAAATTCCTTGTTATTCTGCCTGGAATTTAAATGCAACTGGACATCTTGTGTTATTTACTAAACCTGGTAACCCTTGTAGAGTTCGTATTCACAACAAAATTGTTCACTTCTTCACACCTGGCATGCTCTACATATCAGTGGAATGGAGTTGCCTATCTGTGTGACTCTGTACTTGTGAAGGCTCTGTGGTTAGAAAAGTGGCCTTGTTGAAAATGAGCAGCCTTTCTGACCTACTACTTTGTATCTGAGCATTATGGTTTTGGACCTGTTAAGCGAACTGTCTACTTAGCTCTCAGGAATGGGAAAAAGATGACCCTGCAAGGCTTTCAAGATGTGTCTCTCATCATTTTAGGAAGCAAAGATAGCTTAATTAGATGTTGCTTTTTTTTTTTCTTAAAAATGTAATAGTGAAGATGATTCAGATATGTGAGAACACTTAAAATGCAGGGTTTATTTTTGTCCTTAAAGACACAGGTGTCAGCTGGCTGTTATGAGCCCAACACACGTCCAGTGTATAATTCTGCCTTGAAGAGCATTTACCAAAGGACCTTGGGATTTTCAAAAGATAACCCATTAAAAAAGGGCTATGGTTAAAAAATTGGGGAAGCATCAATGAATAGAGTTAAACAGATGTCGTCTATGATGGACTTCTCACACATCCTTAATATACTGATGAACATTTCATATTTCCAAATTGGCGACAAATGCAATGCTATTTTTCACTTTCTACTGTACCTGTTTAAGCACAGACAATTCATGAGGCTAATATTCTCTATATGAAACTTCAAGAAATAGTCCTCATAAATAGGCCATGTGTAAAGAAAGCACTACCTCTGGACAGTGCTTTTTTTTTTAATTAACTTTTTTTCTTTTAACTTTTACTTTTTACTTCAGTACTAAGTTTTTCCACTTAGTTAAATCAGTATCTTTAATTTTGAGTGCCTACTTGACAAGTATTCTATCAACACCAAGGATATGAAGATTTGTAAGGTGGAACTTTGGTCACTGTTTAGTGAGAAGTGTTGGTTTATACTTTCCATGGTGCTGGCAGACATAGCTTTTTTGTAATGTTCATATGTTGAACTTTGTTCCCTAAACAAATCTGTCTTGATAACATTAGGATTTTTTCATACATAGTTATATGTGTCCTTTTCAGTCTCTGATCTGTGAATCCTAGATCAGTGAAATATAGAAAGATTTTTAACCAGCTTTCATAAGACATAGCATCAAGAGTTTGTTTGGATAGACTCTCCATTTATTGGTAACTCCTCCTTGGAGGAAAGAATGCAGTGGCTTCAGTATCTGTGCTGCATATATGGTCTTTCTAGCTTAAAGAAGACCTGTGTTGTTATGTATGTAGCATCTCTGGTAATGTAGATGATATGGACTGCTTGCCAGCTCCTTCACAGGGTTGACATACATGACAATTGTAGTTAAGTAGAATTTTGCAAGTTTTTTTTTTTTTTTCCTTCTTAAACATATGATGCCCTTAAGCCTCTATTTGTCTTTGTGTAGAGTTCTACATATGTAGGACATTCTGTGTTTGGTGAACTCAAACTTATTAGTTACATTTCAGTCGTTTATCTCTTTGGATCTACAATATATCCTATGATCAATTAGCCATGGTTTCTTCATAATTGGACATTTACAGTCTATGTGCAACTTTAGGGAAGAAATTGATTTGGAAAAGGATAATGATTGATTCCTTCTTGATTATCTGTAAATGTTCTACAATGTTATCTATGATCAATTACTGATAATTGCAGATAATTCAGATAATTACTGACAAATGCCAACTAATTATATATTATATATTATATATATATTATATATTATGTTTCAACTAAATTTCTCCATATATTTTTTTATTGATGTAAGAAATTTTAACAAATGCTTTGCTTACCCCTAGATATGCTTCATATGTATGCATTCTTTTCTGATCATAGAGATACCATTTGGTAAATTACAGAATATCTTAGTTCCTTAGCTATATCAATGTAGTGAAGAATGAATTAGCTTTTTCCAAAATTGACTTTAAAATATTCTGCTAACTTCAAAAAATTAGTCCCTTAAAAGAAATACTTTATGATTTCATTCATATGTGGAATTTAAGAAAGCAGACGAACATAGGATAAGGGAAGGAAAAATAAGATAAAAAACAGAGCGAGAGGCAAACCATAAGAGACTCTTTTTTTTTAATTTAAAGTTTTTTTTTTTTAATGTTTGAGAGACAGAGCCTGAGTGTAAATGAGGGAGGGGCAGAGAGAAAGGAAGACACAGAACCGAGGCAGGCTCCAGGGTCCAAGCTTTCAGCACAGAGCCCAGCACTGGGCTCAAACTCAGTAACCTCGATATCATGACCTGAGCCAAAGTTGGACGCTTAACTGACTGAACCACCCAGGCCCCCTAAGGGACTCTTAAATATAGAAAACAAACTAAGGGTTGCCAGAGGGGAGGTGGTTGGAGGATGGGTTAAATGGGTGAAGGGCAATAAGGAAGGCACTTTTTGGGATGAACACTGTTACTTGTAAGTGATGAATCACTAAATTACACTCTTGAAACCATTATTATATTGTATATTAATTAACTTGGATTTAATTAAAATTTAAAAGAAACAGAAAAATAAAATAGATTCTTTGTAGGTAGCTTCAACTTAGGCTTATGGATCAAGTGGCTGGCTTGACCATTTATATATTAACTTTTCTGACTTTATCATTGAGTGATCTGTTCCTTAAGTTGTAAATAAATAAGGAAAGATTTTAAATTTATGCTCTGGACTAGAAGTGTAGCATAAAGTTGGCCCTTAAAATTTGTTTCGTGAATTTAAATCAAGTCCTGTTCCTCTTTCTAAAATAACCTTACAAGCATAACTGTGAATAATTAAAACCAGGTTTTATAGCTTAATCTACATAAAGGACCCTTAATCCCCTTTTAAGTATTCTTTGAAATTTATATGTAAAATATTACTCTTCATCATTTTATTCTAAGTTTATGATGCAAGTTAACATTGAAGTCCATGATATAAATTGTGTCTTTTGGCAACCTGTGATAAGTATTTGAAATCTGTAGGTGATAAAAAAAAGTAGTGAAGTTATAGACACTTAATATTTCTGGCATGAACTGTTGAAGCGCATAGTTCAGAGCTTTCAGTCTTTGTTGAAGTCTAAAATATTTTTGTCATGTCATGACTTTGTTTTTTAAGGCAAACATTTGCAAGT